CACTGCTGTGTAGAGTCTAGACACTGTCTAACATGCTGAGCAGATGCTGGTGCCTGGAAATCTTCCTTCACTCATTGTCTGTATGTGTAAGTGCATTTCGTGTTATTTGTACATTGCATTCACATTGTGGTTTTGACATGTTACAATGTTTGTTCCATTTTCCAGATCATTCCTTCATTCAGTTTCTGGATGCAAAACAAACACTTAAGTGTTTACTTCAACAAAACCTAAACACAAGGACAGAGGAACTCTGCTGGTCCGGGGCGCTGTGTGATTGGGGTGGCCACACCTGATGTCGTGAAATGGCACAGGACTCCCCCACCATTGTTGCTTTCCCTTGAAACCAAAGACTTTCTACCTCTTTCCTTATCAAGAAATTTGTTGGGAAAAGGTGGTGATTTGGTTCCCAGGGACAGAAACAGGAACCCAGATGCTGCAGTCCTAGTAAATGGGGAAATAATTTTTAAAGAAAGCCATCAAGTTCGACATCGAGGTGTTTCTTTCCAATTTTAGATGGAGATGTAACAGTTAACTTTGAAAATTCAAACGGGCACATGATACACATCGGAGAGGAATCTACCCAGGAGGAGAATGTAGGGAAACCCGAAGAAGGGAATGGTTCTGTGTGTGAGAAAACACCACCTCGGGAGGAAAAGGCAGAAGATAAGAAAGGTAAAATCAAGAGAATCCTGTATTATCTCCTGTAGAGCAGCCCAGCATTGAGTAAAACCAGGAGCCTGCAGAGAGGAGGCTTACAAATTGGGAGAAGAGAGGAAAGGAAGCCAGGAAAGAGAGACAGCATGGCCTCCTCAGGTGGACACGTCTGTTTATAACTACGCCGTCTGCTTTAGTGTTAATAAGGAGAGCTAATTAATGGTACTGATCACAAGGATTGGGCCCTTCAGGCTTTATATTCACCTGGAAATGATCTCCTGTTCTTAAAAGCTTTCCCTCAAGGTGAAAAACCCAAGCAGGCGGAAAGTTGTTTTCACCTGTTGCTGGGCCATGGGAGCCGCTCAACAAGAGGCCATGCGTCTCCTAGCCTAGACTCCCTCTGGGACAGCAGGAAGTAGCTGATGCATCCATACACCCCAGTATTCTAAGTTCCAGACATTTCTAAGCTACGCCAATCAGGAATTCCATAAAGAGCTGTGGTTTCCATGCCACTTTCTCTGTGATCTACCGATGAGTTTGGAGATTTCACAATATGCCAGAAGCAATTAAACTATTCCCACAAAGGGTTCTCTAAAATCTTTGGTTTCTAGAGTGTGCTCAGAGTCAGATACTGTAAATACCTGTCTAATGGGGTCCTCCAGAATGTTCATGAATACCTAACAGTGGATCCACCATACAAGCCTTATACTTATGTAAACCTTGAGCTGATATCCTATAGGGAAAGGTTTAGCCATAAATATTCTAAGTAGATTTTGCCATGTGCATAGGAAGAGATCTTCAGGAAATAGTATATTTCCTGTTTTCTATAAGGTTTGTCTCTGAGTTGGTTGGCAACATTTGTCAATCTCTCTTGGATTGTGTAGATATTTTGAGAACTCTCAGAAGTTCCTTTAAGTGAATTTCTTCTCTTGATCCAAATCCTCCTGCAGACGAGAGGGAAGGGGGGGCTTTTTATTAAGTTAACCTGTTAATGTGAAGTCATCTTCCGAAAACTGAGATGCTGTAATCATTTGCACAAACAGTAATGAGCCTTCAAAAGCTTCAGTAAGCTATTGGAAACTTATTAATTTGCTGTCCCCAGATATTAAACACAGTATTTATGGGACTTGGCTTAATTGCTCCCAGTACAAGCCTCTAGTTAAGTTTATTAACACTGATGATAAGAGATTAGCTTGTACTTTTAATGATAATGTTTTGGAAACAAAATGAGAGCGCAGATAGGTTTTAGAGAGATCCAGTCGCAAGGAGTGAGTGTGGTCGGGAAGGGGACCGGTACCTGTTTTTATTTTCTTTCATTCCAACTCTGCTGTCTCAACCAACCATTACACTTCATGCCCATCTGTCCTTTGTCCCTGGTCCCTGTGGGTGTCATTCCACTCAGCGCCTGGCCAGACTTAAAAGGAAGGGCTTCGTTATCAGCATGAGAAGGTGTTGCTGACGGGTTTACGTTAGTTAACCGGGCAGGCCTTGGTGCTCTACAGAAAAGATGGCAGACCTTCCAGGCCAGCAAGTGGCTGAGAGAGGGTTTGTTCTCTTATCCCTCAACTTGGGACGTTTAGTTCTTTCTAGGCAAGGAAGTTACACGATAGCATCCGTACCTGGGGAGATGGACACAAGAGTGATGGTGTGTCATGATGCGGCAGCTGTGGCTCCCTCTGTGTGGACAGAGCCCATGCAGAGCCGTGCCACTAACCAAGAGTGATATTAAGAATGGAAGCCATTTCCTGAAGCTCAAAAGATTGTCACTCCTAAGTAATATCACAGAGAATTGGGTTAAATAGAAATTGCTTATCAATAAAGGCATGGGTTTCTTGAGCCCTAAGCTTTTTAATCTAAAAAGCCAGCCTGATTCGCTTTTGCCTCTAAGAAAATAATCAAAAGCAAAGCACATGTCAGGTGCCTCCCACCACCCTGGCTCTGTGGATGGCTTTGGTTCAGGCTATGTGGGTATTTCCGGGGTTTTGAAGGATCTTGATTCTACAGTTGGTAGAGTGACCCTGGGCCTTTTATGGCAACACTGAACTTCTTCCTCGAGGTCTTCTAGGCTCTTGGCCTCCTATTATTCTTTCTCAGTAGATGTCCTTAGATGTATGGGACACCAACTGTGATCTGCAGTCTGTTCCCAGTATAACAACATGCAATCTGAAATTGTTCTACATTGATTCCATGGCGTGATTGTGAAAGGCCTTTACTGAGGGAACACTCACACTTGGTTGTTTCATGAACAGAACTGAAAGACTAGCGTGAGCAAAACTCTAGCAGAGGCCACGAAGAGAATGAATAGGGGCCTCTGTCCAAAAGCCGATCCCCCTACGAGAACTGGTGGATCACAGGCAATAGTCATGGAATGCAGAGTTCTGAGCAGGCCACGGTACCAAAGCCAGGGAACTCTCAGTGGAGACCAGAGTTGTTTCTCTGTGCCGCATCTTTCCAAACCAAGTCCTAGGGGAGACAGAAAGGAGACAGGCAGGTAGAAGAGAGGAATTGGAACCGAAATGCATCCCAGACCAGGTGCAGGACACATGTGGTCCTGGATTGCTCTAACTGTTGACCTCAGCCCTTTACATAGAGAGCCAAGCCTGGAAGTGGAGTGGACAGCTTGTTTCCCAGACTGCTATTGTGAAGCCTCATGTCCTTCCGAAGCCAGAATGAACAGACAGACAGCTCTCTCATAACATCCCCTTCAAAGGACAATGTTCCATTACTCCACCATCAATCTGTACAAAGCTTTTGAATCATATGTTCACAGTCAAAAATATAACCTAATTCATTACCACCCACATATAAGTAAAAAGTGTTTACTGATTGTCAATACTATCAGCCAGTCACACTCATTGAACAGACACGACTTTTAAGGCATTGTACTTGATTAGATACAAATTTTCAGATAGAAGGCAATTTTACTCTAGTTAGAAAAACATACTCTTTGTATAGTCACGTGAACATGCATACATCTTAGGGATCACTAGTGTGGCAGGCATTTACGGAGCGCTCTCATGGTAGAGTTGGGAGGCTAAAGAGGAATTGCTCCATGGTTTCCAAAGAGCTGCTAGGGTTTGTGTGTGGTGTATCCACCCCGGTAGTAATTGGCAGTTTCAACTGTCAGTGAGTGAACCCACCTTTTCCCTCCGAGCCCAAAGTTGGACTGTTTTGGAGTAGTTTTACTTATTTTATTTATGCTAGAGGTTGAACTCGGGGTCTCACATAGGCTAAACTACGTGCTCTGCAACTTTAGCAGAAAGACCCAAAATGTCCCACTGGGCTTATAATATTGAAAAAAAAAATCAAGACCCCAAGTGTGCCAATCCAGACTCTCCAGGGGACCAGGCTTGATCTCCATGCAAGGTCTTGTGATAGAAACTAAAGTCACAGAGATGTGTTTAAAGAGTAGACTCAGGGGGTAGAGGTATGGCTCCGTGGATACGGTTCCTGTTATACAAAAAAGAGGACCTGAATTAGGACCCCCAGGACCCACATAAAGCCTGGTGTGATATTGCACATCTGTGACTCTAGCACGAGGTGGGGGGTATGCAAAGACAGGAGGATCCCTGGACCTTACTAGCCAGCTGGTCTGGCCAATATGTGAGCTCTGGGTTAAATGAAAGACCATATCTTAAAAGGTGGAGAGCAATTGAGCAGACACCTGACATTGGCCTCTGCTGTCTACACATATGTGCACTCACATACATACACTAGATATACATACAAACACACCATAGATAAAACAGAATACAATTCTCCTCTATGTCAAGACTGTGCTTAGTATCATTCAAGAAGTTTGTGTGTTTAGCTGTGTGTCTCCTTGCATCTTCCTCCATTCTAATGGAGTTCTCTGGCCACCTGGACCTCTGACTCATACCACGTGGGTTGCAGGAAGCACAGCCTGTTGAAGGATAAGACTCTAACATGACCAGAAAGGCAGAGTTACAAAGTTGACCCTCATAGATGCGAAGTGGTTTGAGCTGTAAGGCTGGATACAGGCAGAGATAGAAGAGGCCAATTTGGACAGCCGTACTTGGTGAAGGTCATGGCTAGGGCTAGGACAAGGGGGAACTTTAAAACATAAAGGTTTTATTGATTAGCTTCTGTAACTGAAATCACTATTTCAGCTAGACACATGGTTTGATTGACAGAGGATGGGGCTTAAGCGGGGGAGCATCCTCACTTACTGGTGACCAGAATAAGAAACAAAGCAGAAGCCGGGCGGTGGTGGCGCATGCCTTTAATCCCAGCACTCGGGAGGCAGAGGGAGGTGGATCTCTGTGAGTTCGAGGCCAGCTTGGTCTACAGAGTGAGATCCAGGAAAGGAGCAAAGCTACACAGAGAAGCCTTGTCTTGAAAAACCCAAAAAAAAAAAAAAAAAAAAAGAAAAAAGAAAAGAAAAAAAAGAAAGAAAGAAAAAAAGAAAAAAGAAAGAAACAAACAAAGCAGAAAAAATGGTAATGGCATATTACATATGCCATGGCCCTCTTGGTCACTCAAACATGGAAAGATCTATTCAGTAAGGGCTGATTAGTGTTGATACCGACTTTAGTTTTTATTGTGCTGAATATTAAAAGAGATACCACTTAGTGCTTTGGGCTGGAACCGTATTTTAATTTATTTCAGCCACTATTGCAAATAATACAGACGTGGGTACATAATCAACTGTCAGCATCCCCAGAGCAATGCTTGCTTCTCCTCCAGCTCTCTTGGGGTCTTCTCTTCTTATATACAATTTCTTTCTGTGAAATTGGTGCTTTGTCTTTTCGAAACTATTACGGAAGGGTACATTGTAAGGCTAAGTGAAATTTTTTTTTATTCTGCCCTTCATGAACCTAAAGCTGTGGCTCTGTTTGGAAGGGTGGAAGAAGTCACTGTAGAATTTGAAGCTGCCCTGCCCCACTGGGGGAACAACAACCAAAAAAACAAAAAAAAAAAACCCACTCTGATGATAGAAAGTGACTGCCAAGTACATTGTGTGTCACAAGCCTCCCCAGAGTCTCCCAGAGTATAAAACATACATGATTATTTTGGCCACACTAAGACTCCTGGTAGATTGGGGGTGAGTTTTAAACGTAACCGGAAGTGCCGTCGTGACTGCGGCTGTCGGCTTCACCCGTGGCAGTGTCTGTACTCCATCCATCCGTCACTCTTGAGGGGCCTTCACTTTTATTAGGTTGGTGATTGTGTTTCCTTTTGCACTCATTGCCCATGTTGTCATCCAGCAACAACAGAGCGGAGGCTGGAATAAGGATGAGGACTAGTGCACGTAGACACTGATCCTTTGTGTAATTTCATCCAGCTCACTTGTGTCACCCTTTTATGAAAGCAGTGACTGGTGGACCCCGAGAACCCTCCCAAGTATGTCTTTTGGTTTTTGTTTTGCCTCAAAACTTTGCTTCCTCTGGGGCAAACCCT